TGTGTTTCCTGATCTATTCATTTTGTTCTGACCTAAATTTTTATTTTTTACTATCTATTTATAAATTTTCGTAATGAACACTCGCATTTACTTCAATGAACATCATTAAAGAAAATCTGGTTTTGAAGACCACGCAGATATGAATTTTGTGAATATCATGGTAACTAGAAAGATAGCTGGATAAATAAATAGATAAACAGATACAGATAAACAAGGTATAAAACTGGATTTTTATTAATTGACCGACTTTACAATGTATTTTATACAAAAGACTCCGAAACAGCTGCAAGTGCGGCAAAAAATTTAAATAATGCATAAGTTGGAGGGCGTCAACTATAGTGTTACTATTACAACCCGTTAAGACTTTATCCGGATGAAAAAAAATCCAAATGGATTCTTTAACAGTCCATAAAGTTAAACCGGTGGATAATGATCCAGCCACTACATCTAATTCAACAAACATCACGTCAAAATGTTAGAATGAATTCAGAAAGAATCACATCCAACTTCTCGGGATACTTTACATTATGAAGGTTCTGAGCATTTATTTTTTGAAAAAATTACATATAATTATTTAAATATGCAAAATTTAGTTGTAAACTCACGCATTATTGGCACAAAATCTCCAACTTTGTTTTAAATAATATCAAAATATAATTTACCTCCTAACTACTACAACGACAGCAATAACGATATTACTAGTTTACATAATTAATTACTCACTGTATTGTGATAGCGATTAACATACAAAACTCTGTGAGTGCAGACTCAAACTCATCCAATTGCTATACAAAACTCTAATCCTCTTGGTCACGCCCAAGTATGGCTCTCAACGTATCCCTAACATGTTCACTTCAATTTCCTCAGAAACTAATAATTCAACAATTAATGCAACAACCTCCTCCAATGCGACAACCACTCATTCAACGACTACCGATGCAACAAGCTATTGGAATACCAGTAATAAATACTGGGATAGTTAATCCCTCGCAGTCTATTGCAGCAACAGGAGATATTGATAATATGAGTAGACTATAAAAAATTCTTTGATCAACTTTAATTATAAAGATAATTGTTAACTTTTTATCTCTGTTTAAAATATATGTATTTAATAATGTAGTCATTACTATTACAAATTCTAAATCTAACTCAGCACAGATTGGGTTGTTAATAAAATAACTTAAAAAAAAATTTTCCCGTGACCTTTTCACATAATTGTTTTTACTTCAAGCTAGACCGACGTAAGTTAAAATTATAATAATACGTCCATTCAATACATACATAGGTACATTACATTATTTTATTCTGTGATTATTATTGCGCAGGTAAACTTGATAAGTTGGCCCTCTCAATCAATTCCGACTTATCGAATTTACCTGTGTATTTTTGATTCTTGATTTAAACGAATTTTCTTAATTGATTGAGAAAAAGATAAGAAATTTCAACATATCTCAATTATGAAGACCATTTATATAAAAAAAAAGAAAATGCAATATATGAGAAAAAAATTA